AGAGCTGACAAATGACACAAGCACAGGGACAGTAGGGGATATCTTGCAGCCCAGGGCCTAGGGTAGGGATGGCAGGGGGCCACCTGAGTCCTTGTGAAATGCTCCTATCATGTGAGGAAGCCTTTCTTTCCTGGAAAGGGCCCTTATTGGCACAGTTGGCTAGATTCAGGTCCCTATCCCTGGACCCCAGTCAGCTTGGCAAGGGCGGAGCCCTGGAGGAGCAGCATGACAGTCCCCTATCAGGCCACAGGGTTGGCATGGGGGGAGGTGCCACTCCACAGAAGGGAGGGACAGGAGGTGAGCTGGCTCAGGAACACAGGTGCGGAGGGGAGGCACAGTACTCAGTCAAGTCAGATTTGAAGCACCTGTAAAGGGCTTACATACAGGGGGTTAAGGCCAGACCTTGTGGGAAAAGGCCAAGTGTACAGGTAGATTTTTATTCTCTGCCCTGGGCCAGAGCCCTGATATGGGGAGATGAGCTAGAGACCGTGGGCATTGGCTTGGTGTCCTCAAGGAAGGACACTAGCCTGTCCGTATGGAAGTCAGAGTGACTCCCAGATAATGAGCTGGCAGCAGACATCTGTCTGTGAGACTACCTGCTGATCCTGTGATCACTGAAGTTGTCAAAGTAACTTAAGCGGCCTGAGGCCCAAGGCCAGACAGGGGCTTACAGCCTAGGGTCATGTGCTGGTAAGTAATGATCTGATCCTGACCCTGGGCCCTTATATCTCTTTTCTCTGCCCAGTGAGACACTTCATCAAAAGCAGAGAGCACAGTCCCTGGCTCAGAGCAGTCCTCCAGCTCAGCAAGCATTTATGGAGGGCCTGCCCTGTGCTGGTCCAATGGGCAGTCTTATAAATAGGAAAAAGACATAGCTCTAACCCTCAAGATGTTTGGGGTGGCAGGTTGACAAACTGTGGACAGCCCTGCTTATGGGTACTGTGGTGTGAGCCAAGATGGCAGCAAGAACCAGGTGGGCCCATGGAAGAGGGATGTCGGGGTGGGATTCCTGGAGGGGTGACCCTGGGATCATTATGGAGTTGGCCAGATTTGGGGAGCAGCGGTGAGATGAGGGTAATTAGATGTAAAGGGGGGAGTGTGGTTGAGAAACACCTGTGGTAGTGGGGACAGCTCTGAGCAGTTCAGGACAGTGAGAACCAAGTTAGGGGTGAGTATGCAAGAGCGTGGATCTGGGGGAGATGTCTCACCCCAGGCTTCTGTGCATCAGAACCTCCCCAACATGTCTAGTGTGTGGAGGACCCGTCAAAGGGCCCCATGTGTCCTGGCCCTGCATTCTGATGATTCAGGAAGGTGTAAACAGCACAGGGTGCTATCAGAAGCTAGTGAGTGAGGTTGACAGGCCCAGATGTCAGAGGAAGAAGCAGCAGATACAGTCTTTCTGGATGGAAGGTCTGTGATTTTTACCCAGTCTTTCAAACCACTGCTTCCCGGGGTTATGAATGGGTCATTTGAACCCAGCTACTATGGTTCCTTCTTATTCCATGGGCTGCTTAGTAAAAATACCACAAACGGGGTAGCTTTTAAACAACAGAAATGTATTACTTTCAGTTCTGGAGACTGGGAAGTCCAAGACCAAAGCACCAGCAGATTCGGCGTCTGTCAAGACCCGCCTCTTAGAAGGCATCTTTTCTCTGCAATCTCATACGGTAGAGGGGCAGGGTCGGGGTTACTCTTTGGGGTCTCATTTATAAGGATGCTAATCCCATTTGACCTAATCATCTCCCAAAGGCCTCACCTCTAGATATCATCACACTGCGGGTTAGGATTTCAACATGCAAATTTTAAGGGGACACAGACATTCAGTATATAGCAGTTCCCAAGTGGTAGCCCCCATAGGCCTTACCCCATGTGCTTACAGGTAAAGTAGCAAACTGTGGGGACTCCGGGATGCCCAGGGACCAATGGCCCCCAGTCTCTGTGTCACTTCTACCATCATGTGTCCTTAGCTTCACCTGTCTCTGACCCAGACTCCAAGGGAGTGTGCCCACAGGCAGGGTTAAGAAGCCAGAATCTGGCACTGTTCCGTAAAAGATCGGAGTTAAGGATTGAGGGCTGCCGCACGGCCAGAATTGCTGGGTCATTAAGATGCTGCCCTCAGACATATACTTTTCTCATTCGCTTGCTCTGGCACAAATTCCCCCAGAGTAAATTACCTCCAGACACCCGAGCTGTGTGTTAGCAGTTCTGGCCCCTTCCAGGTGCGGGGAAGAACGTTGCTGTAGGACCAAAGAGCTAATTTTGAATTGGGGAAGAGCCAATTCTGTAGCTCTGTGATTGTTGTTTTAGTACAAGTAATACAAGTAATGAATGAAAATATGCTAATAAGTATACTGATACTATCCTGCTAATAGTATATCAAGACACTATAGCAGGATACATATATGTCTATACATATCGGATATGTATAACATATGCTTACTGTAAGTATGTATGTGCAAAATACATAAAACAATATGGAAATTTATGTAAAAATAAGTAAAAATACTTCTTGACACCCCATACCCCTGTTCCCCAGAATAAACCACTGCTGCGTTGTCAGGATGTCCTTATAGACATTTTTTATGCACTTACATAATATGCTTGTAGATTCATACATTTATAGTTTTTTTTTTCTTATCTAGTGACTTGGTTTATTCACTTCACTTCATTTACCTTTGATTCTTTTCCATTCGGTTTAGTCATGGCAGAATATTCCCCAATATGGATGCAGCATTCTGTTCTGTTCATGATAGATATTTAGTTGATTTCCCTTTTTTGTTATTACAAACAGCACTGTGGTGAATTTCCGTGGCCATACCTGTTTGTGATTCAAATTGATACCTCTGTTGAGTAGCTTCCAAGATGTAGAATAATGGGATCAGGAATAAATCACATAGAACATTCTGGTGAATGCTGCCAAATTCTTCCAAAGGTTCCAGTTTCCACTGCCACCTGCAGCACGTGGAAGGCAGTTTCACACCCGTGCGGGTACTGAAGGATTATTAAAACGTGATATTCTAGTCTGTTGGCAGGGTGTCACATCCTGTTGTTTTATTTTGTATTTAAGTATGAATAATGTTGAACATCTTTTCATATGCTTATTGCCATTGGTATTTATTTTTCTATACTTGGCCCGCTTATATCCCTTGCTGATTTTATGGTTGCAGGAGCTCGTATGCATTTTGGATATTAATAATTTGTCTGTTAGGCATGTTGCATATATGTTCCTTTCCTTTTGTTTATAACATCTGTTTGCCAAAGGGAAGTCTAAAGTATTTATTTAGAAGAATTTGTAGGGGCTCCTGGGTGGCTCAGTCCTTTACGCATCCGACTTCAGCTCAGCTCATGATCTTGCAGTTCATGAGTTTGAGCCCCACATCAGGCTCTGTGCTGACAGCTCAAAGCCTGGAGCCTGCCTCAGATTCTGTGTCTCTTCCTCTCTCTGCCCCTCTCCCTCCCCCTCCCCCTCTCCCTTCTTCTCCCCCTCCCTCCCGCCCTCTCTCTCTCTCTCTCTCTCTCAAAAATAAATATTAAAAAGAAAAAGAATTTGTAGAGTAAATTAGGGAATTTAAATGGATTTAGATTGGTGATTGGGTCCTGTTTTAGCTATTGTTCAAATGTATGTATGTATATTATGGTGATTAATAAACCTTTTAGAAATGGTACATGGGCACACCTATTTCTGTGCATTTTCTCAGTGGGTGGATGCTAAAAATGCCACTATCATTGTATAGAGAGTTCCAGAAAATCTGTGATGCTGCAGAGAGGTTCCCCATACATGGAAAGGTTGGAGACCATTGACCCAGAAGATGGACTTAAGCCGCTTACAAGTAATTCATAAAAGTCTATTAATCAGGACTCATTTGATTGAAAGTATCGAAAACCCAACTCAAAATAGCTTAAGCAAGAAGGGTTATGTAAGGTGTATATATAACTGGGACCTCTAAGAGAGGTTCTGCCTTCACCCACATCACCCAGGGTCTCAAAGGATGGATATCCTCAGGTCTCCCTCCCTTCCTCCCTCTCCTCTCTCTCTCTCTCTCTCTCTCTCAGTCTCTGCATTTGTTGGTCTGCTTGTCTGTACTTAGTATCATTAGCTTCTACAGCAAGCAGAGGCTGTCTGAGGATGGATAGGTGGCAGGGCAGGCCCAGGTTTCCATTCTTAGAGATCATCATACAAAAGAGACCCTTTTCTAGTGTTTACACAGCACCTCTGCCAAGGAAAAGGAGACGAATTGCCCCATCACTGTCCTCGTTGACTCAGTCACACGTCCACCCCAGCCAAGGGTCAGAGACACTGTGATTGACAGTTCAGCCACAACCAGGAGAGGAAGGAGCGGTTCATCAACAGAAAGGGAGATGCTAGCTGGACAGACTGCAGGACCCACGTATGATCTACAGAAGACTGGTAGGGAGAACCTGGCCTGGAGGCAGAGGAGTGAGCTTGAGATGCGGTTCCATCCACCACATATGCCTTGGGCAGCTGCCTCAGTCTCCCCCTGGGCTCTAGGCTCTCTTCTCTATAAAGTGGACTTGTGAGGATTAATGAGTGATGTCTGGATCAGGCTCTTGGGAACCCCGAAGTGCAAAGCAGGTGATATCAATGAGATCTGTCAGACAACACATCTCGCACTTCGTAGGCACTCCATAGGTGATGGTTTTCCTCCCTCGTATTTCCTAGAATTCAGAGGGTGTTAGGAATGAAGCAATCAGTTTGCATGAAGTTCTTCCTTTACCACCGTGAGTGAGGCCCCTTTCTCTGGGGTGGCCCACCCGTGGTTGCACAGGTAATTATTGGTCAGAAAAAGATAATGGCATTAAGAAAGAGGCAGGGCACATTTCCTGATGAGAAGCTGACTTCTTGCTGGACTAAAGTCCACCCTAATGCTGTGGGAGAGAATAGTCGCTCAGTGAGAATCTAGCCACACCCTGGGCCCCTCCAGCCGGCCTGGTCCCTCCTGTGACTGCACGTGCCATGACCTGCCTTGCCTTCCTTGCAGTCCACCTGACCCCGGTCTCCACAGCTAAGAATGGAGTGAGTAGCAAGAGTCGAAAGAGAATCATGCCTGACCCAGTGACTGAGCCTCCCGTGATGGACCCCATTTACGAAGCTCTTTTGTACTGCAACATCCCCAGTGTGGCCGAGCGCAGCATGGAAGGTAGGCCTGCCTGTGCCGCCTAACTTGGTACCCAGCACCCCTCTGGGAACTAGTTCTTCAAGCAGCATAGCACCATGGTACGGAGCCAGGTGGCCTGGACTCAAATCCTGCGGTTGCCACTAGGTCGTGCCCTTGAATGAGTTCCCAAGTTAGCTTCCTCCTCTGCTGAATGGGGGTAACCAGCAGTACCTACTCACAGGGCTGCCCGAGGCCTGAAGTAACTGTTTTGAACAGCACGTGGCTCAGGATAAGCCCTCTGCAAATGTTTGCCATCATGGTTTTCGGTGAGACACCAGAGATGGAAAGGTGGGCTTGGCGGGCTCTAGGGCATCACCCTCCCCCCCACTCCCCTCTTTTCCAGTAAGCTCTCTCAGGGCTTAGGAAATCCACAGGATGCTGGATGCTCTGTTGGTGTATTGTAGAAAACGTGCAGGAAACTATGATTTCTGTGTTGAGTTTTGCTTTTTCGAAAGTGTATCAAAGAATGATGTTGAATATTTTTCTCAGTTTGTGCCCTGATTTGTTTCGTGGAGGTTTAAAGCAGAAGTCATCGTTTCCAGTACTTCTGTGGGCCTCCCCCTAGTCTGTGGATGTGAGGGAGGCCCCACGAATCGACATGCCCCCATTTCACTGGTCTCCAGCCCCCGGCCACACCCCCAGAGGCTCCCCGTTACTTCTGGAGGTCTGAGACATGTATAACTATCCCTGTCATGTTCCTCCGCCTGCCTTGTGAGCCACCCCCACCCCCCAGCATGGCACCCTCTTACCATGGTCATCCCTCCCCACTTCTGCAGAGTGGAAAGGATCCACGCTTCCTGCGCGTTAACCAGGACACATGCTCCTCTCCCACAGGTCACGCCCCGCATCATTTTAAGCTGGTCTCCGTGCATGTGTTCATTCGACACGGGGACAGGTACCCGCTGTATGTCATTCCCAAAACGAAGCGACCAGAAATTGACTGCACTCTGCTGGCTAACAGGTAAATTGCACTTTTTCTAAAAGTGATTTTCAAGAATCTGTTCCCTCCGTCTCAGTCACAGTGCTGACTGGAGAATGACACAGGCCAGGAGTAACCTACACTCGATGAGCACAGACCATTCGCCGGGAGCCTGATCTTTAGAACAATCCTGAGTGTTAATTGCCATTTCAGAGTTGCGAAGGAGGAGGCCCAGAGAAGCAAGGACACCTGTGTAAGGCCACACACAGCAGATAAGTTGAGATTTGGGTCCAGGCCTGTGTGAGGTCTGCTCTCCTCACCTGTGCTCTTCAGTTTGAGGAAAAGCTGGGACACAGTGCAGTGAACACTGGGCTGGATGTCCTCAGGCTCAGCTGTTCTCTTTGGGGGCAGCAGGTAAGTCCCTTAGTCTCTGAGCCTCCCCCTCCCGTCTCTGCAATGAGAATGACCGTGCTGACCGTGCAGGGTCTGGGTGAGGAATGAAGTGAAATAAAAGAGGGGAATGTGCATTACCAGCTGCAGAGCCATATAAATGTAAGATATACTTCAACCTTTTAATTGTTCGTGGGAATAGAGACAGCACGTTCTTGATTGAGAACCCTTAGGGTAAAAAATAATTCAACAGAGAGTGGAAATTTTGAGTATAAAAATAGCACAGCTCTAGGAGCGCCTGGGTGGCTCAGTCGGTTAAGCATCTGACTTCTGCT